CACAGGCACTCTCTCCTCTTCACACAGTGACACACATTTATAGATACACAGACACACACACAGATTAAATTCTCAGCCACCCACCCATGCAGAGATACACACACTTGTGTATAGCGACATATACAGATGTATGCAAATATGCCCTCTCTCAACACAGTCTCTCATAAAGATATTTCTCCTTATTTCTCTGATATTCATACTGGTTCAGAAACAAACATCCATTGGTAGATAAGCTGAGAGGGTATCTGTTTAGGCAGACAGCAGTTGGTGTCAAGTGGATGAGTAGACAACCGACTGGGAGAAGGTAGTGGCTGAGTGAGAATGGGTGGGTAGATGAGAGAGTGACTGAGTAGGAAGAAGGACAAGTAACCCACATATGATAAGATTCTAGAATATCATATTTTCCAACCTTTTAACTCTCACTGTGGTTTTCTTTTGAACATTCTCCAAGTCTCATATCTCCCTTCTCTTTGTCTGGCAATCTTTAGCTCTCTCTGTCTCAGTCTCTGTTTATGTGTGTGTGTGTTGAGGGGGGAGTGCAGGGGAGGAACTTTTACTTTCTATAGCAAAAATCTTACTCTAGTGCCAAGTAATATTTTATAACAACAAGATCCATGATAGGTAAATGTAACTTCATTTAAGAATTATTTGTAGTAATGAATTTGTGGAAATATAATATGAAAAAGAAAATGTACTTGTTTATTCCTTTCAGGAAATTCCTCTATTCCCCCTGGTTTTCATCAGCTATATTTTTGGCAGGCCGTGGGCATGAAAATGTGAAGACATTACTCTCAAAGAGAATTATAATAATCACATCTGATTTATACAAATGTCACCTTAGGGTTAGGCAGTTAGAAAATTCAGCCGTCAAAATGGATAGGCACCTGAAATTAAGGACATGTCACACTTTTGCTAACACTCTGGTTTTTATCATTATCAGTAGTTCACAGGAGATTTTTTCCCCTAGACTTATTAACTGTTAAGGATGGCAATTTGGATTTCTTGAGCCTATACTATGTGTGCTAGACACAAAGGAAGACTTTGGAGAAATAAAAGACACTGTGCATGCGTGCTCAGTCACTTTAGTCGTGTCCAACTCCTATGGACTGTAGCCCGCCAGGCTCTTCTGTCCGTGGGATTCTCCAGGCAAGAATGCTGGTGTGGGTTGTCCTTGTGTGCTCCAAAAAGACATTGTGCCTGACCTCAAAGAATTTATGGTATCACTGGGGTGTGTTGGAGTGGCCTTATGGGATTTCAATAGAGCACTAAATAGTGGGTAGGATTCCTAAGCAGGTCAAAAGAACAGTATGAGTGAATGTTAAGAGTCAGAAAAGAGTGGCATGTTTAGCAGACCGTCAGGTTATACTGGATGGTGAAGGTAACATGCTTGAGAGTGGCAGGAGGAAAAGATAGGTGAGCAAGCATGAGACCCAAGTTGTACAGGACTTGGAATATTCAGTTGAGTTCTGTCCCCAGTAAAGAGTCACCCAAATTTGACCTCTTTTATAAAGCCAACATTTATTAATGCAATAATATCAATTTTTCTAAGGGGAAGAACTCATGTGACAATGAAAACTCTAAAATATGAAGCATTTTTATAGAAATGCAACATATATCATAAGCTCATATATATGGAATAGTAGATGAAAAGAGAATAGAGAAGATAGTTACTCTGATAGGCCTTAAACTGTAATGACTGTCATGAACACAATTACTCTGTCAAATCAAAGAATTAATTAAACCACTGGTAGCCTTCTGAAGGATATTTAGATAGACAGGACAATTAGATAAAGATAATAAATGATACTAAGTATCCCAAATCCTCTAACCCATTTTGAGTACATGTTAAGAAGCCAGGCTAGCTTCTGGTTCTTCTGACCTTTCATCTAAAATGTCATGATCTGTTTATTCTTTATTGAACATATAAATATTTGAGACCACTAATCCTAATCAGGAAGGTTAGTGCAAAAAGAGTAGTTAGAAATGCCACCAATGAATCTCCAGAGAAAAAGTACAAATAAACACTGCATCGGTCACTGACCAGGAAGTAAAACCTTTTCCCTCCTCGGGTAGGACTCCTGTGCTTCTCTGAGGGCCAGGGGAGTCCACTCAAGGCCATCTACCCTATAGCTTCTGACAGCTACCTCTCTCCTTTCTCCTTCAGGAAGAATCAAGCAGATAAAGGGGATAATCCTAAATGCTTTTCTAAATTAAAATTAACTCAAAGAAGTGAGGCTTATGTGACCGTAAATGGCAGACTTCCTCTCAGCTTAATGTGGAGAATTAATATCCTTTTATTCTTGGCACCAAACCCAAGTGACCCCTACCCCACCCATCCCCCTCTCATACAAGCAGGACTTCTCTCTCCCTCCTCAAAGCCAAGTTGTTCCAGACAACATAACAAACCACACAGTTGGGAATGATTCATATGTTTCCACTCTCTGTCCAAAAATGAGCAAAAAAGTTTCCACTTAATTTATAATCTGAATTTTCTGCATATTTCCTAAAAATTTAAAGGGGAACAATTCAAAATGTGATCTTTCCTAACTCCCCAAATTACTGATTAGTTACAGAGTAAAGTATCTTTTGGTAAAATACTTTTGTTTTACACCTATCCCTGGAGACAAGGACTGTAGCTGCATGATGCCAAATATCTAATCAATCATCCAATGTTTTCATGTTTTCGGATGTTTTCAAAAAGCTGGTGTTCTGTAGATACAGGCTTGGTCTATCCAGTCTTTTGTTATCTCAATGGTACATATGGATACAGAATTTTCTGTTTGGAATATTTCTCAAGGCCAATGCCTTATTATAGTTCCAACACCTGCAAATATTTGGCAGAGATTGTTCTCTCCTCTCCATATCCCCTAGTCTTCCTGCAACCCCGCTTTCATCTCTTGCTATTAAAAAGCTGTAAGTTTATACAATATGCCTTTTCCTCGATGCTATTAACTGTTTATCTGTGACCCATGAAATCTGCAGTTGCTGGAGCATAAATTTAAGTTTCAAATCACATTTCACAGGAAAAGTTTAGGTCCAAAACAAAGTGACAGCAAGCTACAATAGAAAGGATATTTAACTCAACTTAGCTCTAGAAGCTGAGTTCCAGTTCCAGTTCTGTGACTTTGACCAAATGGCTTAACCACACAAAGCCTCCATTTATACCAATTTAAAACACAGGGCTTCAACTGGACCAAGTCCAAGGCCAACCATCTTAGGATTCTAAGAATTGAAGCCAATGAGATTATTGCCCTCTACAGTCTTGATATGAATGAGAATATCAACTTGAGTGAAATCAACAGATAAACATTAAACTTCATACAAATTTATAAATATTAAATGTAAATAAAAATCAAAAGGCACAAATTGGACTTCCTTGGTGGCTCAGTGGTAAAGAATCTGCCTGCCAATGCAGGGAATATGGGTTCGATCCCTGATCCAGGAAGATTCCACATGCCATGGAGCAACTAAGCCCATGTACCACTACTGAGCCTGTGCCCTAGAGCCAGGGAGCAGAAATTCCAAACCCACAAGTCATAATTACTGGAGCCAACTTGCCCTAGAGCCTATCCTATGCAACAACAGAAGCCACCACAATGAGAAGCCTACATGGTCCAACAGAGAGTAGCCCCCACTTGCTGCAACTAGAGAAAAGCTTACACAGCAAGGAAGATCTGGCACAGCCAAAAAAATTTCTTTTAAAAAAAGCCAATTTCAACAAATTCCAAAAATTAAAAAGGCACAAACCATGGTCAGTGTGACTCTCAATATTGTTTTCAATAAATTACAGAATGGAAAGTGTATCCTATTCTGAGTATTACTACCCTCACCAACATCATAATTTTTACATAAGCTACAATGACTTTTCCATAGCATGGCAAGAGGGGAATCTCCATTCCCTTATCACCCTCCTTCCATGCTGTCTGGGTGTTCCTTCTAGCTTCGCTTATATATCCAGGTCCTATTTTGGGATGGTAATCTTATTATTTGTTTAAACATTTTATTTTTCCAGAATTTCGGTTGAGTAATTTCTTAAGAGAAATTGAGCCCCATAGCAGACAGGCAATGGTAATAAAATAATTTGCTGGGTCTGACTTTTGTTAACATCAACGTGAGGTAGTAGTGCTCTAAAAGAGACAGGCACTTAGACTTGCACAAAAATATTACATGGCACAACAACTTCAGAAAACTCTGTCTACTGAACAGGAACTTCCCAGGAAAGGACTGCAAACAAACACTTTGGTATGTACCCCACAAAAATGAACACTGGCACAAAATGTGATCCTGGATTAAATATTTTTTGCCTTCAGTTTAAATGTTTACTTCAGTATTTGATGATCCCTCCTGACTTCATAGTACACTGAAGTCCCGTTTTTGTCTGTTTGCTTTGTTTTTTAAGGCAAATTTAGAATTAGCCACCTTGTTAAGGGCTTGGTAGCAATTTGTAGTGGTCAGTGCCAAAGCTTTACTTCTCTAGTGTATAACACATACAGTACTGTCCTCCATGAAAACCTCTTAGCTAAGTAGATACACTCAGACACCTCCACCCACATCTACATGGAGACACACCCAACCTTCCCATTGCTATATGCACAATTATGCAAATCAGCACATATGCTAATTGCAGTACATCTACACAGGTGCTCACATACTTAAAAGAAGATGTGGAAAGATCATGGCAGAGATATACAGGGTATAATATGTCATTGTCAGAGGAGAGAGGGCGCTGTTTCCCTGGGCAGACTATTAGTGTGGGCCATGGGCTAAATCCCCCAGAACTGGCCAGAGATGAATGAATGCAAGCAGGTTTGTGCAAAAGATGAAACAGGCTACAGTGAGAGCTTGCAGGTTAGAAGGCTATTTCTTATGAAAAGAACTTGGAGTTAAATCATTCTTATCATATAGGAAAAGTGACCGATTTTATTAGGGAACTTGCTGGCTGTATATAACTATATGTAAAGAGACAAAGTTGTGTAAGATGTGTCTTCCAGATCTCTTACCTTGAGCTTCTCAAACCGATCATTCAGGGATGCGACCTGATGGTCTCGGTGACGCCCCACCAGTTTGCATAAGGCACAGATCAATTGGTCATCAGATACACAGTACATATTCACTTTCTCATTTTCATGGTCCAGGCAGGTGATCCCTCGAAGATGAGTGTCTGGCACTGGTTCCACCAGGCGGTGGCTGGTGAAAGGTTTCTTGTTGGGGTGTGTAGCCCTCAGGCAACGGTCACAGTAGGAGACCTCACAAGTGATGCACGTTTTCACTGCATCCCTTGGGGGGTCCTGCTCACAGAATTGGCACGCAATTCGCTCACTAGACATGGCGCTGCTGGGCCTGTAAGTCCTCTCTCGGCGGCTCTCACTTGGGGAATTGGGTCCACTGACGGAAGCCTTCTGGAAGCGGTCAATAATGTTCTGCAGAGTCACATTTCTCTTGAGGCCGTCCAGGCCCCGGTGGTTCAGTGAGATAACATACCTGCACGTAGGACACTGGAAAGCAGTAATGGGTTCAATGGATTCACCGGAGCTGCAGCTTGAGACCAAGATGCGATGGGCACAGCTGAAGCAGAGGCTGTGAGCACAAGGGAGCAGAAGGGGGTCTTCAAACAACTCTAGACAGATTGGACAGGTCAATTCAGACTCCAGTGTTTCCATCTTTAGTGAAAATAATCCTGCTGAGGCATTAAGAACCGCAGAGGCTGGGCTTTCACCTGCAAGGAACACAAAGCAAGAAGTCGTTAAGCATTTCCAAAGGAAATGTGGATGTAACATAACTACACACTAACCCATGGAGGCTTTACAGGCTGGATTCCCCACGGATGCTGGCGCACTAGGAAAGCGAGTTGGGAATTAATCAGAAAGCTATTCTCCCCCTTGAAACCTTATTTTTGACAAATGCCTGGGCTTATTTTCCTGCACTAATAAATAGAAGCTAGTGCCACCTCTGAATCCGGGTTTACCAACTCATATTCCTATTCACAGACCCTCTCCACTGACATCTCTTGTCCTGGACTATGATGCGTCTGAGGCCCTGCCAAATTCTCAATCTCCATTCTCCAGTAGTGTTCTCTATTTTACTTCCAAGCTGCTCCTATTTCACATCTAGTGAAAGGAAAACAAGGCCATATTTCAACCTAACTCTCTGGTTCTTGGAATGATACCATTCTAAGAGACTGTAAAAAAAAGAAGAGCTTTCGAAAAATGTAGTTCTCAGTGCAGGATAATTATTTCTTCAGATAGGTGACCTTGAATTATTTCCTATTACCACACATGGAAATTTCTATTCCATACCATTTTTAGCAAACTGAGTTACTAGAGACAAAGAGGAAAAATATTAAAGTATAAAAATTATGGAATTTTGTTGGCTTAAAGTGGGAATCTGATTTATGAAAAGAGAAAGGCATTTTTGGTTCTGAATAACTTTTGTTCATCATTTTGCTATTACTAGAGAGTCTCATCAGGGCTTGATGGTTTGATTCTGCCATTGGTATTTGTTCAGATTTTGTCATCTGTCAGAGATATCTGCATAGCCCTCTCACAGGACACTTAACTATTGAGTACAATTACATGTTGTCCCCAAGTACAATAAATGTATCCCTAAAAGCTATTTCTAAATCAAATGTTTTAAGTGCACTGAACTAACCAGCTATTTAATGGATATCTATGGGAAACTGAACTGTAAAAGTGAAGAATTTTATTGTAAAACATTCTCAGTTGGTTTAATAAGTTTAGATGTTTGCATAACCACCTTTTTAAAAAGAGATGTGTGCTATTCTTATTTTACAATTCACAAGTGCTTAAAAGTTGTTGGCTAGTATTTTGTAGCTTATAACATCTATCTGCATTCACCAATAAAGATGAAAAAGTAAAACAATTAAAATATACATATATCACAGAATTTTAGGATTGGAAGAGACTTTAGAGATGATAGATCCCAACTTTCACTCAAGGCAGGAATACTGCCTTTGGTAGTTCCATTGCTCAAATTCAACATGTCCATAAATGAACTTGATATTCTACCCAGCCCCACAACACAAAACACCTGCCCCTCTTCCAATTTTCCCTATCTGTTGAATATCATCATCCAAGCCGAGAAACCCAGGAGTTCTCTCATTTACATGTTTATCACTCTGTTTTATTTAATACATGTATCTGTGTCTCCAGCTAACTCTCCTTGCAGGCATTAACTATGTCATATTTTTAATCATAGCACAGTGCTTCGCACACACTGGTTATTCAAAAATTGTTAAATGAAAGATTCCTTAAAGTAGAGGAAGTTAAAGAAGGGACCTAGTGTTTACTAAGCACCTCCTGTATTCTAAGTACCTTGTTAGGAACTTTACACACAGTATTTCATTAAATTCTATCAAGAAGGCTGTACAGAATGTACTAATGCTATACACATACTATGGTTAGGAAACTGGGTCTCAGCGTTGTTAAGTAAATGAACCAGGAACCTACATACCCAGATCACTGGAGCAGTCTAATGCCAATGTCTGTGCTCTTTCCCCTACACCTTTATTTTAATCACCTCACCTCCTTCACTTGACAAATATCTTGACTATTTACAAGAGGGTTTCTAGACAGCATGTTTCCACTTCTATTTGAGGCTATGTCCCTCTGAGTTTCTCTGAATCTGCCTCTCACTCCTAGTCTCTTTCAGAATCACATCTCTTCCTTCTAGGCCCATCTCCACCTCACTCTGAATTTCTATTGTGTTCTCTTCCAGAACTACAGGTCTGCATTCCTCAGGGTCTGTGCTGGAAGCTACTTGGGAGAATGGAGTAAGGCCTCCCGCCAAAATGATAGGTGGTCAAAAGCATTGCTGATAGGCCTGTTTCTGTGTTGAAACCTTTACAAAAACAACTGGTGTACCACAACTTCTCTAAATCTTAGGAACGTGCCATATAAATTCCCCAGTACAGAGGAAAAACTCTGAATTTTCCTGCAACCCAAAAAGTTGTTCCTGACTAAATGTGACACTTGGAACGTCACTATGAAATTAAGCTTAGGAAAGCATGCTATGAATCAGGATTGCCTTGGATAAGGTCAAAATAGGATTTCTGACCAGGGATTTCTGAACCTTCTAGAAATGTTTAAAGAATGCTGTGTAGATCACATATCCAGTTTCATGGGGAGCAGACTGCCCGTAGCATTTGAATTGTTTTCAAAAGAGTCTTTGACAGAAGGGACTTCCCTGGTAGTCAAGGGGTTAAGACCCTGCACTTCTAATGTAGGGGTGCGGCATGGGTTTGATCCCCGGTTGGGGAACTAAGCCTCCACCTGTAGCATGCTGCAGCCAAAAAAAAAAAAAAAAAAAAGAGTCCTTGACAAAAAAGCCAAACATCAGTGCTCTAAAATAACTACTTGAACTGATTGCAGGTCTATACAGAATAATATAAAATGGTTACAGTCTGTTGCTTATGGTAAGTAACTTTTTCTATTAAACTGTTTCTGCTGCTGCTGCTAAGTCGCTTCAGTCGTGTCCGACTCTGTGTGACCCCATGGACAGCAGCCCACCAGGCTCCGCTGTCCCTGGGATTCTCCAGGCAAGAACACTGGAGTGGGTTGCCATTTCCTTCTCCAATGCATGAAAGTGAAAAGTGAAAGTGAAGTCGCTCAGTCGTGTCCGACTCTTCTCGACCCCATGGACTGCAGCCCACCAGGCTCCTCCGTCCACGGGATTTTCCAGGCAAGAGTACTGGAGTGGGGTGCCATTGCCTCCTCCAAAACTCTTTCTACTCTGTTTTATTACAATTTGGGAGAATTAGGTATTTTTTCAACTTTTTCAAATATCTGTTCATCTCATCTCTCATTTATGTGAGACCTTTTTCTGGTCTTTCCTAGTATTTCAGCATCCTTTCAACCTACCTCCCATTTTCCCTACCTACCTGACTACCCCAGAACCTTTCCCCTTAAAAGCAGTTATGCATTTGCCACATGTGAGGCAGTAAATAATACCCTTTATAGGCATTATCTCATTTAATTTTCACAACAGCCCTCTAAAAGGCAGGTATTATTACTAAAACAACAAAAAAGGTAACTTGTCCAGGGTCACACTTGTTTGCAAGTAGCAAAGTGGAGATTAAAACCCAGAATAAAACTGAGAGTCCAGAAATAAACTCATATATTTATGGTCAACTGACTTTTGATAAGGGTTCCAAAACCATTTAACAGTGAAACAGTAATTTTTTCAAGCAAGTGGCTTTGGGAAAACCAGTTGCCCACACACCAAAGGATGAAGTTAGAGATCTACCTCACACTATACACAAAAATTTACTCAAAATAGATCAATGATCTAAATGTAAGCACAGAAACTATAAAACTCTTGGAAGGAAACATAAGTGTAAATCTTCATGAACGCACGGTAAGCAAGGGATTCTTAGATGGCAGCAAATATGCAACTGAAGAACAAAACAGATAAATTGGACTTCATCAAAATTTAAAACTTTCTGTACTACAAATGACATCACCAAAAAAGTGACAACTCACAGAATGGGAAAATATTTGTGGATCAAATATGTGATACAGGTCTAGTATCTAGAAATATACAGAATGGCAAAGCATCTGAATAGACATTTCTCCAAAGAAGATATGCAAATGATCAGTTGGTATATGAAAAGGTACTCAACATCATTAGCCATTAGGGAAATACAAATCAAAACCACACTGAGATACCACCTCACACTCACTAGAATAGCTATAATATTACTTCATACACACTAAAATGGCCAGAATAAAAAAAATAGCAAATGTCAGCCAGGACATGAAGAAACTGGGACCCTCATACATTGCTGGTGGGAATGTAAAATTATGCAGCAAAAATAGTTTGACAGTTCCCCAAAATGCTAAATGAATTACCATATGATCCAGGAGAACTGAAGACATGCTCACCTAAAAACTTGTACACAAATGTTCATAGCAGTATTAATCACAATAATAGTGGGAACAACCCAAATGTCCCTCAAATGATGAACAGATAAACAAAAGTGGTATATCCATACAATGGAATATAATTCAGCAAGAAAAGGAATGAAGTACTGATACATGCGGGGCTTCCCTTGCAGCTCAGTCAGTGAAGAACCTGCCTGCAATGCAGGAGACCAGGGTTCGATTCCTGGGTTGGGAAGATCCCCTGGAGGAGGGCATGGCAACCCACTCCAGTATTCTTGCCTGGAGAATCCCATGGACAGAGGAGCCTGGCAGGTGACAGTCCATGGCATTGCAAGAGTCAGACATGACTGAGCGACTAAACCACCACCACTGATACATGCTACAACATGGATGATCTTTGAAAACATTTTGCTAAGTGAAAGAAGTTAGTTACAAAAGGTCACAGATTATATGATTCCCTTTATAGGAAATGCCCAGAATAGGCAAACTCATAAGAACAGAGAGAAAATTAGTATTTCTCAAGGGCCTGGGTGGGGGGTGGAGGAAATGGAATGTGACTGTTAATGCATATGGGTTTTCCTTTGGGGATGATGAAAATGTTTAGGAATTAGTGGTGACGATCGCACAGCTTTGTGATTATACTAAAAACCACTGAATTGTATACTTCAAAGTAGTGAAACTAAGGTATGTGAATGTTATCTTAATTTTCAAAAAAGATTCAAACCCACAACCCAGAGTGTGAACAGTTAACCACTATTCCACCCTGGCAACTGTGTAACTCAGTAGTGTTTCTAAATTCTACTGAAGCACTTACTCC